ACTGATTATTGAAATTGATAGACAAAGCGATAGACAAAGAACACATAGGGAATACGAAGCGATCTTATTGGTTGAATCTGATGGTTTTTACAGGCTGAGGGGGAAAATGATGGACTAACTGTAGGATCTCTTGTCGGTTGCCGTTAGTTAGTCTATTACCTACCTTCTTTGTCCATTGCAACCTCCCACTTCCACCAGTAGAATCCCTTTGTCTCATTAGTCTGTGGCTTCGTTTATCAATTTCAATAGGCGATCGGCCCGCTGGATAATTTGAATTAATGGATTGGCTGCTCTTTTGAGCCATATAAGAGCTCCATAAGCTAACCTCAAAATTACCGACATGTCCGTATACCCTCCCTATTATAATCTATGTTTATTGTGATCTTTAAGCCATTTTATCTCTAAAAAGTCCATTCATCACTGGAAAAAAACACATTGGATCTATAGTCCAGACTCTTGAGAACATTGACAAGAAAAAATACTCTTGATTCAATCAGATTTAAGCTTAAATCAAAAGGAAATCCGCTCAAATTAAGAGGCTTGGTTCTTGATTTAAGCTTAAATCTGATTGAATCAAGAGTATTTTTTCTTGTCGATGTTTTTAAGAGTCTGGACTCTAGATCCAATGTGTTTTTTTTCCAGTGATGCGGATTTTTCTCTTGGTGCAACAGAGAGATTTCATTTAATTCGCGAGCACCGGTTTATTTTTTTCCGAGCGCAGATCAGCGACACCAGGAAGAACCGCGCGAAAAGAGATAGAAAACCGCGTCGCTAAAGGTGCAGAGGGGAAAGGGGTTGGGAGGTGGTGGGGGGGGGGTATTGATTAACCGAGCTCAAAAGAGACGTTCAAGAATGATAATGGCCAATAGTATTGAGATAGTAGTGCTATTCAGATTCGTAATGAATGAGATTTAATAGGTTTGTAGCCCATCCGGGTATGTCCGCCCCGCACCGGCCCCGAGTCCGAGACGCGCGATAGTGGAGCGGCCCCGACGCGGTTGCCATATCGTTCGGATAAAACAGCCTTTCAACATCGAAAGAACGTGAACTTATTGCACTATATGGCAGCGGAGTCGCGGTTGGTCCTGCGCAGGGTTGCCGCTCGGGTCGGTTTCACGGCGGAAAAGGGCGGACTCGGGGGTGATGTGGCAACGGTGTCTGGAAACTGGTTTCCGGTCTCGGCTACCGATCCGCGAACCCTGCTCCGGACTACGGCGCCGGCGCTGCCGCTCCTAGATCGTTGCCAGATTTGGCGGGAAATTTTGGGTTTTTAATGGATTTAGCTCGGGAATTGAATTTGTGGCGATTTGGCAACCTCTCAGCGTCTTGAGTCGTGTGTTTTGAGTCTCGCTGAAGAAAAACTAAAGGATTGAAAAAAATACCGACAGTTCGAAATGGATTTGTGCGGATATTACCTGTATTCCTTGTTTCCTGAAATTTCAATGATGAAACGAAACGCGTATTTTCACTGTTGTGTTCCACATTTTTGGAATTAATTTATTTTTTAGGAGTAAAATCTTGAAAAATGCTGACAATTCACGAGGGAAAATGAAAATCTTGTGAGTTTATTCCCTTAATTTTTTTAGAGTGCTTAATTTGAAAATCAGTCCATTTCGGGGAATATGAAACGCATAAATTTTCTAAAATAAGTATTTTATTGGAGCAAAGTCCGTCAAAATTTCAATGTTCATCACTACTATAATATCTTTGAGTCCCAAAATTCTCTTTTTTATCCGTGCCACATTCCGTTTGTTCCTTGCCGTACCCCCCATTCCCCATTCCATTTCATAATCTTTACAATTGGTGAAAATGTAATCTTTATTCCCGTTTGTGACACTGCGAAAGCCTAAAATAAGGGAACCAATCAGAAATGGGTTCGCATTGTCTTTTCTCTCAGTATAAATGGACTCTATAATTTACCAACTTATTCTCCGTGTTCCTGGGCATAATGGCAACCGGGTGCGTAGAAAACACCGTTGACCGTTGTAATACATCTGTTCAGTAATAGGGCGCCGATAAGAGCAAAAGCGCGGCACCCGAGCCTTGTTTTGGTCAAGGGACTGTTAACAAGCCGCCGAGAGTTGGCGAGCTCTAAACAAAAACAGCGCATCCGGACACCGATCTTTATCGTGACTGACGCGGTTCGCGCTCAGGAAGTCTCGGAACCCGGCGCTTGGATTTTCGACCGGGGCCTAGATCGGGCCAGCCGGAGAACCCGCCAGAAAACTGGATCTCGGCGAGAAAAAGTTCCGGCACGCGCCTACAGCCGGGGGAGGGGGGGGGTAAGTTTATAACGACACTCGAAACCCGATTTTCAAGTCGGAATGGAACCCGGATTTTAAGTGCATCATCATCGCGGCCCGACGAACGCGGGGTCTGGATGTCCGGAAATTCAACGTGCGGAATCCGCAACGGTGGTTTTCGGAACACTGGAAAAAAACCAGATTGGATGTATAGAGTCTAGACTCTTAAAAACATTGACAAGAAAAATACTCTGATTCAATCGGATTTTTGCTTAAAATCAAAAGAAATTCCGCTCAAATTAAGAGGCTTGGTTCTTGATTTAAGCAAAAATCCGATTGAATCAAGAGCATGTTTTCTTGTCGATGTTTTTAAGAGTCTGGACTCTAGATCCAATGTGTTTCTTTCCAGTGAATGGTCTTGAAAGTTCATTGAGCGGTTTAAAAATGAAGGGGTTTGAGCTGGAAATATTAAGCCTCGCAAAAGACTGTCTTCGTCAAACTGTTATTTGAAGTAAATTGACACGATGAAAATGAGCCAATAAGTAAGAAAATACTGTCGTGCTAAAAAAAGAAAAAAACAAAACAACATATTGCCGGTGAAACTGCAAAAACGCGTGTCTCGGATCGGTTGCGGCGTTTCGAAATCTCCGCTCCTATTTCATTTTTTAAAAGGAGATCGAACTAATAGCATTGCTTGATGTTTTCACGGAATATTATTTTCAGGAAGAAGAAAAATCAATGAAATTTTTAAAGAAAATGAAGTTCTAATTCAATACGTTCCAATTTCTTCGTATGGAACATTCGGATTCAGCAGCCACCTTCAGGGCCGGATTTAGGGGCTGGCGACATGGGCCGCGGCCCATGCCGGCAAATTTTGCAATGTTTTTAAATGTAGTTTTTAAACAAATCGGATTTAGAAAAAAAACATTACAAACGAGAAAAGGCGACAAAATCTCTCGTACCTGAGAGTATGGTAATTTCTAATTTTGTCGTCTTTCAGTAATACAAGATACAGCACCTCCAGTTAGTCAAGTTGAGAGAGAAACCAAACACGCACTTTGGCCTGGAACGGCTACCTTAGAGAGAAATGATGACGAGGACTTGAGATGAAAAGGAGAAGCCCTCGGCGCGGCGGTCGGCATGTAACACATATTAGCGCCTACAAGACTGCATGAATACTTCACGCATTGCATCAAACACAGTGCGGTCACTGCGATCTGCGTGAGACCCATAGCGCCTACAAGCATGCGTGAATACTTCACGCATCGCGTCAAACACACTGCGTTCAGCAGCGGTTGGCGTTAAACGCACAGCGCTTACAACGCTGTAGGAATACTTCACGCATTACGCCAAACACAGTGTGGTCTGCGCGGCGCGGTGGTGGAAGTGAAAATCATTAAACCACATTTACGTTTGTTCTTTCATAATTTTTTCGTTCATTTCTGAGAAATGGAAGGCCTTGACCACACAGAGATAGGTTTGCGGCACTCAACTTTCGCGCAAAGTTCCGTGAACTTTTGCTAGTAGTGTTGACAGGGCTTTCTCAAAAAATATGTCCAACGCGAGTAAACGCGCCTTATGCACCTCTCCCCCTCCGACACGTATACTTGATGGTTTTTATTGATGTTTCAAAACGGATGAGAAGGGGACGGCAAAATGCAGGCGGGCCATGAGGGGCAAGTAGGTAAATCCGGTTCTGGCCGGAAAAAAAATTCGTTAAATTCGTTATTTTGCTATGTTTTTTGGATAATTAAGTTGTTCTAAGGTCAAATGGTGATGAGAATAAGAAGATGCATCTATTCGTACTCTCAAGAATGGTGTATATTCGAAGTATTGAAGGGAAGCTCTCTTTTGTAAAGTTAGGCCACCCTTGAAACAAATGCACGATCCTCCATTGGATTACATTTTGCCATGGCCATGAGGAATCACTATTTCTAGATCATCTTAGAGCAAACAAGGCATATGATCTTTGAATGTTCCTACGCAGATTAGTGCTTTTATAGATGAACCAAAAGTGGTTCCTTATCGCGAAAAATAGTCCCATCCAGGTGCGTGCATTTGCCGTGTCGTTTCAAAAGTAAGTTCCCCTTCAATTTTTTGGATACGCACCATGCACATCCTGAGAGCTCGAATAGTTGCATCCGGTCATTCTCATCAGTATTGGCGTAACTCCAACCGTCACACAGTGGATCGAGTCATGTATAAAGGCCACGTGTGACATTTTTGACTAAAACTTCAAATTTTGATGTTTATTTTGTCCCATTTTAAATTTCAAGGGTTGCTTATGAAAGAAATTTTTACGAGGAAACCGATGAAACCACTTTTAGAACCTCAAACTTCTGTATAAACGAGTTATACGCGTTTAAAGTTTCCAAATTTTTTCTGACCTCTCGTATTAGCTCGATCCACTGTGCATCATGTCATAGCTTCTATTTTGCTGTAGCAGCACGTCAAAAACCGACGACCCCTTTCACGGAAAAATATGCATAACTTTTCTCAAAAATACATGTTTTATACGGGGAAATTCGGCAACTCTCGAATGTTCGTACGGCGTTTTTCCTTAGCACGGCATTGTGTGTGTGATCGAGTGTGGGTTGCATACTCAAGCCCCTGAAAATTATGAAATATTTCACAGCCTCGGCAAATTTCATGAAATAATTCACTGAAATTTCCAATCTTTCATTTTTCTCTTACGTATCATGCCACCTTGTGCATGGCGCGCTTCGCTCTCATTAAACTATTACTAGGCGAACATACCTGAGGTGAGACTCCAAGCATCTTGAGGGACGGAGGAACGTTGAGGTTGCCCTGGGGGATCTCGACGTGTCCGAAGTCAACGGTGAACGCTTCGCACCAGACACCGAAGTGCCCGATGTCGAAGACGGTCAAGTCCTTGGGCAGCGTGAGGACGATGTGCTTCCTGTTGTATCGCTTCAGGGGCGTCTCTTTTCCGTTCTCATCGGGGACGCGGATCCCCTGGGGACTGGGGGTCGGGCCCACGCCCACCCAGAATTTCGCATCTGCAACAGGAAAATCTAGTTGTATTCACCAGAATCAAGAGGTCCACACATGATTGTTACACATACTCGCTGGAAAAAATAACACATTGTATCTAGAGTCCAGACTCTTAAAAACATCGACAAGAAAAAATACTTTTGATTCAATCGGATTTTCGCTTAAATCAACAACCAAGCCTCTTAAATTGAGCGGATTTCCTTTTGTTTTAAGCTTAAATCTGATTGAATCAAGAGTCCTTTTTCTTGTCAATGTTTTCAAGAGTCTGGACTCTAGATCCAATGTGTTTTTTTTCCAGTGCTGGAAAAAAGTATCTCGGATCCAGCAGGCTAATTTTTGAAATTGATAGACAATACTATAGACAAAGCGATAGACAAAGTGATAGATAACAAAGACATAGGTAGTATGGGGCGATCCTGTTGGTTGAAAAGGGTGGTTCTTCACCCAGGGGTAAATGATGGACTTACCGTAGGGCCTCTCGTGGGTTGTCGTTAGCTAGTCTATTACCTGCCTCCTTTGTCCATTGCAACCACCCGCTTCCACCGATAGGATCTCTCCATATTCCTGTTGTCTTCTTTGTCTATCGCGCTGTCTACCAATTTCAACAATCACCCCGCAGGATCCAGACTCTTAAAAAAATTGACAGGGAGAAATGAACTGCGTTAAGCAGGAAGGAGCCAATCCGCACCAGCGATTGCCACATTTAATCGGGCAAGTTAACTTTTTCATGAGAACGGTTGTGCGGATTTTTGTGCGAATTTCAGTGAATTTTCAGCATAGAGGAATGTTTATGTTAGGAACAACGCCATTTCGATATTTTACAAATAAAGTCGTTTTTGCCAGAGACAAGGGACCCTCCACTGGCCTCTTGGCGACAGGTGGAAGCTTTTACTTTCGGGGATTCAACAACTCCTTATGGACAATGATAAAGGAGCAACCGGCATCACCTTAATTTCGGCTATTGACATACCTACATGGTAGATGATGAACTTCGGGTGACGTCATGAACCAAACAAGTTTCCTAAACTTCGGCTATTTTCGGCTTTTTTGCAAAACGAAACTCTCAACACGTTGTTAAACATCAACCTTGTAGGTAAGTCAACAGTAGAATGCTGAAGTCCTGAAAGTAAAAGCTTCCACCATGGCCAAGATACTAGTGGAGGGTCTCTTATTGTCTCTGTTTTTTGCAAGAGGGAAAATGGGCCTTTTTTTGCGGAGGCAAATGTTCCAGTAACCTGGGTAATTTTTGTCGCGTGGGGCAAAATTATGCATTTATGTAAAAACGATACAAATAATTGAGGAGTACACGTGAACAAGAAAGGGATAGAAACATAGAATTGGCATGTGCGCGGCTCGTGCCCAAGACGTGCTGCACTGGTTGATGACCGAGCGTGGGAACGCCATCCACAACGGAGCGTGTCTTCCAATCAGTGTTCTCATAATCATACAACCCGCACAGTGCTCCGTTTTCCAGGATATTTTGGCTCGGAATTGTGAGATCTTATTTTGCTGACCTAGAGTACCTTCATAGACAGAGTATGGTCATTCGTATCTTTTTACCGCAGGAGAACTGTGCCGCTTTTTGATTGGTCAACGAGTTTTTAGGCTTCATGATGCTCTTACGGCCGTAAATAAACAAACAAGATGGCGGTTCACCGTAACATCGATAAAAAGCTAAAATTTGACAAAAATTTCAATTACACGGCAGTAACAATTTAAACTAGCATGTCTACGAATAACACACGCAAAACACATGAAAACATTGTTAAACAGCCTTTCACCTTTATCACAGGAGGATGTAAGATGTGCATAACCTCAATCTTGCTTGCTGATAACAGCCATCTTGTTTGTTTATTTACGACCGTAAGAGCATAGTGTCAGCCTATTTTCAAGTGACCAATGAAAAACCGGCACAGAAATGTCCATTCTCTGTCTGTAAAGGTACTCTACTTTTTTCTATTAAAAGTTGAACCAGCGCTCCTCGGCGGACTGACGCCCACCGTACGGAGGACGGTTTTCACGGTTCGCGTGGCTGCTAAATTAGAGCGGCGTGACTGCTCCGACTACCATCTCATAATCACGCCGATCGCTGAAGAAACTGGAATCCATTTCCATTATTTAACTCATCTCTCCACACGCCGAGATCATCCCGTTCTTGGTTGCAAATATTTTCTGAACTTGAGAAATAGTTGTGCGGAATGTAGACATTTTGTTTCGACCCGAGTGAAAGTAACTGGGCACTTTGAAGTGTGACAGGAAAAGTTAGTTTTATTGTGGTATAATAGTTAAGGTGATTCGATGGACGCCATATTTTGTGTCAAAACGGCATGCGATATATCGCATCAATTGGTTCCATTTTTTCAGCTACTCGTCATTTTTCTCCAATTTTGAGATCGCAATTCTGTTTTCAGGAGACTAAAGCACTCATTCACCAATTTTAACAAAGAAATTCAACGTAATAAAGGCGTAGTTTTTTAGAGAGAAAACATCGCATTCGATACTGATATTGAAACTGCACTCGAATGCGAGGTTTTTCTGTAGAAATACACTCAAAAAAAATTAGCCTGGATCAAGCATGATAATTCTTGAATTTGCCGCCAAGAATTTTTTTTATCTTGCTTTAAGCTGACTTTTTCTTGATTCAAGAAAAATAATGCTTGGGTTAAGCAGAAAAGTAGCTTATATTAACCAGCAAAATTCTTGATTTAAGAAGAAATACTTCTTGGCGGAAAATTTAAGATTCTTTTTTTTCAGTGTAGCTGCTTATACATGCGTAAATATGAGATTAATACACAAAAATAGCCCTATATTAATTGGATTGCATTTTGCAAAAAGGAACCAAGAGCATTCCAATGTTGCTAAGCTTGTGCAATTCACATTCCTTGATAACTACTGAAATAAATTAAAAATTATCACTGAATTACTGAATAAAAAGTAATAAAAATATATTACTGAAAAAAAAAATACTGAATATAAAATTACTGAAACCCTGTAAAAATAAAATGTGCCAAGGTAATTTTCGCATTGAATTTATAGTTTATTAGGAGTAAAGATAAAACTTGTCTATATAATCAGTTTGTATTTGCAAGGTAAAAAAAGTTGCACAATCTTAGCGACATCGGAATGCTTGTACAGTTCCTTACCTACAGTAGTTCCTTTCTGCAAAATGCAATCCAATTTTTTTGCGTAGACAAGGTTCTTTTCTGGTAAAAAAAAAGTTGCACAATCTTAGCGACATTGGAATGCTTGTAGTTCCTTTTTGCAAAATGTAATCCAATTTTTTTTGTGTAAATATGTTCATAGACAAGGTTCTTTTCTGGTAAAAAAAAGTTGCACAATCTTAGCGACATTGGAATGCTTGTAGTTCCTTTTTGCAAAATGCAATCCAATTTTTTTGCGTAAATATGTTCAGAGATAAGGTTCTTTTCTGGTTCTTTCGATCCGAATGCTTGTTGAGGGCCCAGCGCTTTGCGCAAGACCAACAGTGATCCATTCTCATCGTCCGCTGCACGAACGAGGGCCGAGAGTGGAAGAAAGTACGACAATAGAATTGCGACAGTGTCTCGCTGAAATGCCGCCTCCTCAAATCCGATTCAAATCAGCTTCGCGAAATTGAAAACGGCGCCGCGGTTGCACTTGTCAAATTTCCGCGGAAAATTTTCGCTTTTTTAATGAGCGTTGCTACAAAATGGATTTCACTTAACCCTAATATCAGAACCATAGAGGGAAAAGATAAAGATTATGTACGAAAGTTAATTTTTTTTATACAATGCATGCATACGAAAGTGTTAAAAGTGAACATTTTTATGTGACCATTATATAAAAAAAGTCATAATTTTCGTGAGCTTATTGCAAACATACTAAAAAATCTCCTGATTCGCAAAAAGCTCACGAAAATTATGACCCTTTTTTATATAATAGTTACATAAAAATGTTCACTTTTAACACTTTCGTATGCATGCGTTATATAAAAAAATAAAAAAAACTGCCTATAAAAAAAATTACCGTATCTAGCTTTTCTCATTTTTCATATATAATGGTCAGGTCTGAACTTTGATTTTTTTTTATATAAGCGTTACACTTTTTTTTATATAAAACTACCATTTAGATAACAGATATGTTTTTTTTATACTTTTTTTAGAAAAACAAAAATTTGTTCTGCTACTAGGGTACCTACTAAAAGCTCTACACTGAAAAAAGAAATTAGAACGGAAAGTTGAACAAAGCGGGAAATGTTAAATCTTGGTCTGTCGGTATAGGGTAGAGTAAGTGAATCGAAGGTATGCTCCTTTGCTACGGACAATACATCCAAACGCGACGAAACGCTCCGTTCCGTTCGTTCCGTTTCGTTTTTCTTGCGTGAAGTTTGAAATAAATGAAGATTTTTTTCACACGACTCTTATTGGTCCAATTGCTCCCGACCATAAGCCCTGTGTCCATTCGTCAAAATGACGTCAAAATGGAAGCTCAAAGCGAATCGATAAATACGATCTGTTCGCGATTGTTGATCAAAAAAGGGTCGCGCCGCTCTATTTTGAGTTGCAACACTCATCAATTGCATCAAGTCCTGACTTTGAGCCACTTATCGTTGAAATCGGTTCACTTTGAGCTTCCATTTTGACGCCATTTTGACGAGTGGAGACAGTGCTTAAGAAAGATTGGATAAATGAGAGTCGGGTATGAAAATCTTTACATTTTTTTTTTGGCCGTTCCTTTGTCAAAGAGAGCGCGAAGGCCTTCTGGAGATTGGTCCGCGTGGCGGCCATGGAGCATAGCCCCTTTGTACCATAATGAAATGTAAGAAGAGCTTGATTTCGCGAGGAGACTCTTACTTCGTAAATTATGACTTTGCTCCCGAGCAAGAGTGAAGAAAAAACGAGTTGAGGCACGGTTGGTCCCTTGGTCATATGATTCTCATTCATTACTTTTTTCTGGTTTGTTGCACGCAGTTTCAATTACCTCCCCGAGCTCGTAGCCAGGCTCTCTTTAAAAGTAACTACTTGAC